TGTGTGTTCACGGTGTGTGTGTGCACTTTGGATGGGTTAAATGCAGAGCACTAATTCCAAGTATGGGTCACCATGCTTGGCCACATGTCACGTCACTTTCACTTTTTCACTTTCATATATATATATATTTTTTTACAAGAGAGACATTAAAAAATGCCTTTATGCAAAATAAAATATAGTTAAAGTTACAATGGGAAAACCTGGAAGGCTGTATCACATTAATATAATTTGTACAATTTTTATGAAATGAATGACAGTAACTGGCTTGACATCATAGGACTGTCACAGGACTGACCAGAACAAGGATGACAGGACGCACATTCTTTGTTTACGTAATACTGTACAGTTTTACAATTTTAAATTGCATTATATTGTGTTGCACTTACTTAGCATAGTTGTATGACAATAGTAAACAGTCAAATTTTCAGTTAAAGTCAGTTCATTGTTGATTTAGCATATTACATTTCTAAGAGATCTAAAGTTTTAAGGGTATTGCAATTAGATACTGCGTCCATCTGTTTGTCTGTGTCCCCTCACAGAACTTAACATAAACTGATCTGGTTCAATTATTAGGCAAGTAAGATGATCAGATCTCGGTCTTTCTGTGATCATCTGAAACCAGACCAAGATCATGACTTTCTTGAACATTGCAAGACTGGTGCGAAGGTCTGCAGTCCCCTTGCTGCTCTTGTTTGTAATTGAATTTACATGGATGCATTATTGATAATGAGTTATGGAGAAAAAAAAAGAAGACTTTTATTGAGACTGATCATCCTATCCTGGTCATTAACAACATCAGTAATAGTAACAGTACCAATAATACAAACTAAAATGTAACTCATGCTTATATGCCACTGAATGATATAGCTATTAGCTTAAAATTACACCCAGGGTTACCTTTAAAAATGTTTGCATTTTACACAGACAATCTTTAAAAACAGGGTGACACCTAATCTATGTCATCCCTGTTACCCAAATGTCAAAACCTGTTATCCTGAAAAGTAACAGGGATGACAGGAACAGGTTTGACAATTTGAAACTAATTTGCTAATTTCTAACTAATAGTCAAGTTCACCAAAGCACATGTTGTACACTTTGAAAGGATTTTACTTGTAGATACTGACTATATTACATGTAATAAAAATTATTGTTTAAATTTACATTTTAAAAATGGTAACAGTATTGACACAGCATGTTGCAATCCCACCCCCAGTCAAGCCTCATAAATGATCAAAAATAGAACATTATAGAAGTGAGAGAGAAATGTGCTTGTGTTTTAAGTGTAGGAATCCTGGTTGAGAGATGATGTAACCTCCTATCACTTGAATTTACATTATTTTACAAAGGTTTTTTGATGAGGGTAACAGGGCTGACATGAAATCAAGGGACACCAATAAAAAGATTACAATTTTATAGAAAAAATGCATACCTGTGCCAAAAACATTGCTTAACAATTAGACTATATATTTAAAACAATAT